TGCTTTTAGAAGTCTTAAGCTTAATCAATAAGAATTTCAAACGATAGAAAGATTTGTTTCGAAAAAGCACACATAATAAATTTGTGTGTTTCGGTATATAGTATTATTTTCTCTGTTTTCAGAATGTGCCCCGTATTCATTTACCTATTTTTATTACGAAATTTTAGAAAAAAAAGTTTTTAGTAGTTTAAAGTAGTTTTTACGAAAACCCCAGAATTTAGAAAAAATATATTAACCTGAATTAGAAAAGTAATTACTATCAGAAACAGAGATTTTTTTGGGGAGAAATAATGCTGTATAATTATCTATCTCGAGAAAAATTATTTTTTTTTAGGAATAAGAATAAAAAAACTTTTTAAAATATTCAAAGAGAAATAGTGGTTTTTCATGAAAAAATCATTGTGAGTAAACACAGTGAAACCCCCCTTGGGCGGACACTCACCGTCAGTCATTTTTTGTCCGCCCAAGAGAGGTGTCCGCTTAATGGAGGGGAAGCCTATTTTAGAACTTTTTAATGTTTTAATTAATGGAATAGTCACTATTTCTTATTTGAATAAAAGATATTGATATTACATCGTTCAAACAAAAATGTGCATGAATTTTTTCAAAAGTGCACATTTCATTTATGTGCGTAAGTACATATTAAGTAATAACAAAATAAAAATAAATATTACATTTTAGTCCATAAACTACATAAAATCATAGATTCATTACATAAAAAACTGGGAAATTGTCGATTGACGTAAGTTTTATTTTTAATTTTTTTCAGTGTCAGTACCTTTTTCATCAATAGTTTTCATGTTCTCCAAGGGTTTCTGACAATTCAAATAATGAACCTAAACCACTGCGCAAACCGAACTAAATGTGTGCATAACAATCACATTTTGTGCGGGAAGTCCCCTTTTTGCATTTAGTAGTCCGCCTATGAGGAGTTCGCGTCCGCTCAACGGAGGTTTTTGTTTGATTTCCGTCCGGGCAAGAGAGTGTCCGCTTAAGAGAGAGTAATTTGTTCCGAAATTTATACTTAAAACTTGGTATAGGAAAAAATGTCCGCCCAAGGGAGGTGTCCGTCTAATAGAGGTGTACGTTAGGAGAGGTTTCACTGTATATAATTTTTTTAAATAAAAAAAAAAATATGTACGAAAATTAGTTTTTTATAAATATGGATATAAATTATGAAAAATTTACCATACATAAAAAATAATATTTTTATTTTAGAATAAATAATTTCTTTAAGGAAAAAAAACAAATTGAAAAAAATTTGGGAAAGAATTCAAACAACAATTTGTTTTGGAAAAAAATAAAAAAAAATTGTTTTGGAAAAAAAATAATTTTTCTAGGAGTAAATTTTGAGTTTGATTCAAAATCTCTCAGAAGAAAAAATTTGGGAAGAAATGTGTTCTTAGTAGAAATCAATGCGTATTTTTAGAAAGTTATTTTTTTATCATATTTGGTTTACTTAGCCCTTGATTAATCAAAATTTACAATTCAGATCATGATTTTTTTTTATAAATTTATTGTCCTGAGAGGTTTAATGAAATATCATAGCATGGATGACAAACAAAAGATGATTTGAAAAGCTTTATTACGAAAGTTTCGAAAAGGGTGAACATTTGCAAAATAGAATATCTTTCGTCTTTACAGCAAAGATTTCCCACCTTTACCAAATTTCAGTAAATGTGTTTATTCTGTTAGAGGTTTATGAAATATACCAATATTCAGAAGCAAATTTTTAAAGAATGGCCACCTATAAAAGTAATTTGAAAAATTTTATTTTCGGTTTTTTATAAAATAGGACATATTGAAAGCTTTTCGAGACCTTTGAGCACTTAGCTTATCTCCAGTTCGAAGAAAGTCTTCTATACCCAGCAGCGTCTATAGCCGAAATTCTAGAATTTCAGTTTAAACAGTGTAGCGCAGTATTTATAAAATATAAAATTTTTTAATGCCCAAAAATACAATCGACGAGCAATTTCTAAAATGTATTGCTTTTGATTATAAACTTCAATCCCCCTAACCGCGCAATTGCAAAAGTGATATATGGCAGAGATTTGATGCAATAATAAACCGTAACAAATGAATTAATTTTCCGCCAGCTCAAATAGCTATGTACATCGAATTGACTTCACAAAACAAAAACAAAAAAACGGCAATTTGCTTGCCCCTCTACTGGCTCGACTATGTCCAGTCAGTGGTCCGTTAAATTAAATTTCGAACTTTGTATGAGCGCTAGGCTTTTTTGCCAATTTGATTGCAAATGCACACGCTCACCCACTAAAGGCGGACGTGGCTTTCTCCTTAAACGCTGTTAAGCCTTTCATGGTGATGAGGATGCTACCCTGCTGCTTGCTGCGCTGATTGTTGCTGATATTGTTGTTGTTGTAGTTGTTGTGATTGCGCTTCTTGCTGGCAAGCAGTTAAAATTTCTTGTTGTTGTTGTTGTATAGCTATATATATATAATTTTTAAACACTCGCGTTTGGTCGCTTTATGTTGCACGGAATGTTGATTACCGCCTTGTGGGTGTTCCGACCGCCCAACTCACTCAAGCACTGCACGAGTCTCCAAATTTTAACTTCACTACCACTTTCCACTTATTTTTATCACACCTTTTCACACTAATTCGCTTATTTGTGTGTACGTGCGCGCGTTAATTTCACAGCAGCATGCTTGTGCGCCCAAAGTTATGCTACAATTTTCGTTTTCAAAGCATACATATGAGCATCTGTTTTATTTCATTTTATTTGTAGGAATTCATAATTCCGTTTGTTGTGTAGTAGGATTATTGTTGCTATAATTTGTTGTAGTTGTTGTTGCACAGCTTGTGTGTTATTCTTCTAATTGTTTGTGGTCTACCAGCAAAGACAGCAGCAGTAGCAGTCGTGGGCGTCGTTTTGGGGTCATTCTCCATTTCTGCAAGTAAATAGAGAAAAAGAAATTAAAACGATTAATCGGCATGAATTTGGTATTTCACTGAAGCCTGTTCATTTGCTGATAAGCAAATAGCAAAGTTTGCTGAGTGTAATTTGTTTGTTGCAATTGCTTTTCCCTCGTGCGCCCCCTTCTTACATTGCTTTGCGCATCATAAGCGGATTATTTTAATAAATTGTTCTTTTCGCTCTACAAAAATTATGACTTTTGCGAAATTTCGCTGAGTTGCATAATTTTGTGTGCCAAATGATATATACCTATAGTAGTTTTTCATGAAGTATAATTCAAACCCGATTTTTTAAATATCTACTAAATACATTTTTATTTCCTGGTACTATTTTTAAGATTCCTACAATAGTGACGAATCAACTTATATTCGGCAATCAGTTCATAATGTGGCAGTAACAGAAACCTCACTGACTATAATTCATGGAATCTTTTGGAATAAGAATTGCTTTTATTCCTACATCGCATAGTTTTGTGAGAGAGCTAAGGAATTGCTTCCCTAAGGAGCTTAGCTAAATCTGGGAGGCTCTAGAAGAAGTGCTCAACTCTTTCTTCCTCTTCCCCATCTCTGTAACTTCTACAAAATTTATGGGTGAATACTCCTAATCTCGAAGCGTGCCTACCAAATAGCCAATGACCGGTTACACCGGCCATGGCCTTCGAAGTAACCTTTCTTGGAATGCTGAGCAGTTCTTTTATTTTTTCATTTCATTTATTTATATGTTTATTTTATGCAGGCGCCACTAGTGTCTCTTACAGCACATGGACTTATAAGTAAGAGAAGTAAGTTTGTATTGTATTCTTGAAGCATCTGGCATCCTTAATAATTTTTTAGCGGGTCGCAGAGAGTTCCATAATTGTGCAGCAGGAACAAAGAACATGCGAGAAGTAACAATGTACATATATAGTCTTAGGCATTATAATATTTACCACATGCTCGCTTTGCCCAAATTTTAGGATTTTAAATAATTATTCTGGTTTTGCAGTATAAGCCAACTTGTGTTAAAAAAACAAGATTTCTTATCTAAAGAAAGTTATCCTGGGAGTTGTCAAGTATTTGTTTAGAACAGTGGTCGGCAAAACTGAAAGTGAGATTGTATTGGTGAGCGCAGAGCAATTTGAGCTACAGTGGTGTAAAAGCCAATCGTATGGGGTAAAGTTAACGAATGTAGGAACGCTTGTGACAATAACAAATTTTTCTTGAAAAAAGTAATGATTTTGTTTTTTTCGTTACAAAATAATTATTGTATGTATGTGCAATAGAGCGGTCAAAAAGGATTTTTCGGAGTTTGGGTTGGGGGCACCTTCTAAAATTTTTCTTATTGCCGAAAGACGCCCCGAACAGCACCATAAAGTATTTTTTGAAGGTAGTTTTTAATCGTACACATGTATGTACATTAGGGTGGGTCGAAAATCTAATTTTTCTCAAATCCCTTGGTAATAGTGAAAATATATTGTATCACGAAGTCAACAACACGCCTGCAAAATATTAGTGTTTTATTTTATTTGTAAGAGCCCGCGCATCGTCCGCCAAGTGACCCACAGCACACTAGTCGAATAAGACCAATTATTGTTAAAAATTCTGGGTTCAGTAAAAAGGGTTGGTGCATATTATTAGATAATGAATCCGTTAACGCAAAAGGTGAAGTCAAAAATCTTTTCTCGCAGCACTTTAGCTTATCGTTAATCTCAAACTTATCTATTTTCAAGAAAATTTTAATAGTTCTCTTGAAAATTGCACTGGCCTATAGTCAAAATATGTAAAGAACAGTATTAATACTGCTGGCGTGCATTTAGGTCGCTGGTTCCAAATATTCTAATCTTTGTTTAATATTAGCTATAGTTTACGAATTTTTGCAAATATAGGAACAGTTTCGGTAGCTCTAATAAAAAAGCCATTATTTTCCATCATCGTAGAAAAATTTGGTTTATGAAAATGTGTATGGAAACACTGAACAGGCACAACTTCTAGAAACACTAATTAGTTTACTTATGTTTATGCATACTATATAAAAATTGCAAATATAGAAAAATTACAAAAAATGTTGTTCAAACATTAGACTGTATGGTCTACCAAAAGTCCACAAAAGAAACATACCACTTCGACCAATTTCATCCTCAATAAATGTACCATGCTCCGGACTATCTAAATACATAGGACAAATACTAAAAAATATCGTCTCCGAGAAATTTAATATAAGAAACTCATTAAATCTGAAAGAAAGTATAAAGGATCTGCATATTGATGATGATGAAATTCTCATATCCTTGGACGTCGTTTCCCTCTTTACAAATATACCCATTCACTTTGCAATCAACACAATAATGAAGCAGTGGTCGAGTCTGCAAAAACACACAAAAATCATAAAAAAGCAATTTCTAACGATATTAGAATTTTGTCTGAGGGAAAATAATTACTTTGTGTACGATGGAACTTACTACCAGCAAGTTTATGGTATGCCGATGGGTAATCCTCTATCGCCAACTATAGCGGACATAGTTTTAGACAAAATTATTGACGACAGCATTATTGAGCTAAGATCCACTGACATATATATCAAATACATAACCAAATATGTAGATGATATATTCGCCGTAGTTAAGATGAAGGACGTGGAAGAGATTTTAAGAATATTTAATAGACAACATACAAAAATACAATTCACTCTGGAGAAAGAAAAAGATAACAAATTAGCCTTCCTAGACATAGAAATATATAAAAATAAAAACAAACTAAAAACTAATTGGTACACCAAAGCCGTAGCATCCTCAAGGATGATCAACTACCATTCCAACCACCCATGGACTCAAAAGAGAAACACGGCTATAAATTTTATAAACAAAGTTAACTCCTTGAGTGACCAGGAGTTCATGGATCAGAACAAGAGAAAAATAAGAAGCATACTATGTAAAAACGGGTACCCTAACAAAATAATAGAAAGCTTACTAACAGCAGCAGCAAACAAAATCACATGTAAAAGTGGCAATACAAAAACAAAGGAAGACAATTGCAAAATATATACAGGCGTCACATATATACCTAAACTTACGGACAACAAAACACTACGCAAAATTATTAAAAACAACAACGTAAGCTATGCACATAAACCACATCACACTATCCAAGCCATTTATACCAAAACAAAAGATAAAATTGGTAAGGAACAACTACACAATGTAGTCTACGAAATAAAATGTCAAGGCAAAGAAGGAGAAAACTGCAGCAAGGTTTACATTGGCACAACGAAGAGATCGCTTGGAACGAGAATCAACGAACATAAGCTAGACGCCAAAAACAACAAGAGTACCACAGCATTAGCGCAACACCTGACGGAAAACAAACATACAGCTGATTTTGACAATGCAAAGGTTTTGGACGTGGAGAACAGAACGAGAAGAAGGATGACATTAGAAGGGTTGCGCATACAACAAAAAATAACTGAAGCAATGAACTTCAAAGAAGACGTAGATAATATAAACTGTGCATATGCGACTGCAATTACACACAATGTCTGAGGTTTGACGATGAAGGATGTGCAGTGTTGTTTAACGTGTCTTAATGTTTTAAATATGTTTAATTTATGTTGTGATAATTTTATTGCTTAATATTAAAGTAAGTGTAATTAGTGTTAAATTATTTTGTATTGTCTTATTTGCTCCTTGTAATAATTATTCGTTATTATTATGTTTTTCGTATTTATAAATATATAGACTCCCTGAAGAAGACGCGAATATGCGTCGAAACGCGTAGGAGAAGAAGCAAACACTTGTTTTATTCAATATAACCGGCCAAAAAGCTCCAAATCCAATAGCATTGAATTTTTAACCTTGGCCCACGGAAAATAATTCAAAATTTTTTTATTTTAATAATTTGTTTATAATCTGAACGATTTTCATCATATAATTATAATAAATCAGTAACAGTAAGTCTCGCATTCAATTTGGTAATTACTACGTGCCGATCGAGTAACATTTGCCAATGTTATATCGAAAGACTTAAGCGGATCTCCAGTTTTTTTCTAACTAAATTTCTCTTCAATTGTATAAATAACTTTTAAATGAAAGAACCGGATTACAGAAAAGTGTGTCAGGGAGTGACTTTTTTCGTTGAAGCTGAATGCGAAGCAATATCGTCCAGTTGGAGAGTGCTCAAAAGGATTTCCCAGGATATGATAAAGACTATTGCATTTACCTACAGTCACTTTTTCACATAATAGAATTACCTTAAATATTTATGGATATCTAAACACTTATTGCTTGTCCCCTACTTTCATATAACGGCAAATTTAGAAACCGCGAAAAATGTGCTTCTTCGGTGACTAATGAAACCATTCCGCACCAATTTTCAAGACAATATAAATAGACCTAAAATGGGCGTTTCTCACTCTAAGTGTATTATGTTAATGCTCGTAAATACTTATATGCTTGAATATACAATAACAATTGGCTTAGATATAAGACATCATAATATTACTATTACAATACGGTCAAATGCATTTTATTTTCCCCCATACAAAATCGACCCAGCCTAATGTACATGTATAAGCAAAATAACAAACACAGCTTCACCTATGTTGCTTCGTTGCTGTCTCAGCAACGACTGTAAGCCTGATTATGGCAACTTAACTTAACTTAACTGAAACAGATTCGACGCGGCATTAAGTTGCGTTAAGTTTCGGTTGTTCAATTATAAGCAACAACCATTTAAGATAATATTTAAGTGAGAGCCTGTAAGTTACGTTAGACTATATTCAAACAGGCCAATTAGCTCAGGCAATTAAGCTTTAAATTGCGGCATTGACTTTAGTGTTCACACACACGGCAGCTGCGCAATTAGCGATACGGAATCAGCTGCTGGATTATCTACAGTGAAAGTACATTCGGTACAAACACACAATTTTAGGTACATTTGGAACGTAGCCAAATAACTTCTCAGGAAATCAGTTCTTATTTTTATGGACATTTCAATGCATTTTCTGGTGCGGGCAACTGGTCTTATAGCTTCCCTTCTTTGTGAAGGGGCATACAAATGATACATAAGACCGGTCAAAGTAAAGCAATTGTAGTTGATTTCGTTAGATAGACGGAAAATATTTCTTTTTAAACGTCAGATCGAAGAACTGGGAAGAAAGTGATTCACCTTTCTACAACCTAGTTTTGTCTCGCGCTACTCGAAAAGATTCTTTTCATAGCCAACATTTGTTGCATGTGAGTAACGAAGTTGATATGGTATCGATGGGAATTATTATCCTCATATTTTCTTTATATAGAAAAACATATTTACTTTTTAGGTACATCTATCTACTTTTAGGTAAAGTTTTCCGTAAATTAAGTACAATTTTATAATTCAATGTTTCATCCCTGATGGAATATCAGCTGTAAAATAAGGCCAGAAACAAACAGCTCATCGCTCTATGTTCAATAAACATGCCTCCAAGTCAAAATTAAACATACCTAGCAGGGTTGCATAGAGAATCTGACACAAATTAATTGCCAATTGATTATTAATTGGCAATTAATAATTTGAATTTTGTATGATAAATTGGGTAACAATTAAGGCTTAAATTGGTGAAAAGTTTCTTAATTGGCAATTAGGTGCCTGTTTGAACATAGTCTTAAGTTGCCATAATCAGACCATGATTTGAAGAGCGTAAGAATGCGTGTGATTAGCGTACTGCTCACGTAAGTCAGCTTTGCCGACCATTGGTTTAAACCATGTTTCTATTATACAAATTATATCAAGTTCTATATCTGAAAAATTATATTTAAAGTAGTTGAGTTTGTCGAAGGTCAAACTACGAGCGTTAACATGACAAATAATAAAACTCTATAATGGGTACATACAATGCTTCAATATTATTCTGAGGTGTTCATTGTTAGCTTTATATCTTCGTGACCCGTTCATGGATTATGTAGAGATAAAATTATGCTATCGCTCAGTAAAATAAAGGAGAGAGACGAATAAGTTAAGACAAAGAGAACGACAAATTGTTGCTATAACTACGGTGACCATCCGTCCTGTATTATACGGGAGAGTCCTTTTTTTACCAATTGTCCTGGAATTTAATTTATTTCATACGGGACGCTTAATGTTCTGTATTTCTTTTAACGTCCTATATTTGTCCCATATTCGGTGTTCGTATATTCGACGCCTTAACAGCTCATTAAAATGGCATGCCTATCAATCAGTTTTAAATGGTATATGATCGTAATTTTCTCCATAAACAGTTATTATTTTCTAATATGAATGCCTGCGATTCGAATAGAGTTTTAAATGGTATATGATCGTAATTTTCTCCATAAACAGTTATTATTTTCTAATATGAATGCCTGCGATTCGAATAGAGGAATACATACTGTGCCCAAAATATAAATTAAGACTCGACATTTTAGTAAGTTTTGTGCAAAAAAATATAAAAATAAATTCTGTAATGTTAAGCCAAAATTTCAAACTTTTTAATTAGAATCTTTAGGAAAAAAATTGGTTTGAAGTTTTGTAACTCATCAAAGTTGAGTATAATAAAGTGCGAGTGGAAAGTGCTGCTCATTTGCTTCTCTTTCAAAAAAAAAAAGTCGAACATACTTACTTTGTATGAAAAAAATCCGTAACACCGTCAACAAAAAAGAAAATTGCAAAAATTAATGAGCCTTACGGACTTAAAATTGCACTTTATTATACTAAAATTTGACAATTTTTTTAAACAAATTTTAAGGGGTAAAAATCCCGAGAAAGTTATCCCACAACAATTGTGATGTTACTATAAGGTAATGTCAGGGAAAACAGTGTGGAAAAAATTTCCAAAACTATTTTTTGTCCCGTATTCGCCTCTCCTAAATATGGTCACCGTAGCTACAACGCAAAAGTAAACTTATTACGACGTACAATTTTAAAAATTAACTTAATACGTACATATATAGTGACAAATTGCTAACGCCTGAACTCTGGCCTATGAATGTGACAGTTCGTCAATTTCGTTTTCCGAGAAAAGTGCACAAACTCTCGGAGAATCTTAGCTCACTCCTTATGCGGAAAAGTATTTAAAAGCAAGGAATGAAACCGAAACCCAAACCGAAACCGTAACCTTTTAAAACCGTTTCGTTTTTCAAAACCGAAACCGTAACCGTTATCTTGACCTGAAAAGGAACGATACCGAAACCATTTCAATCACAGGTTTCAATTGGTTTCCAGAAATTTACAAAAATAATAAATAAAAATGTCTTTGAAATAAATGATTTATTTAACCAAAATCAGAAACATTTTGCTAAAATTCTTGTTAAGTAGTAAATAAGTATGGCAAGGTAACTTTTCGCAAAAATCTGCTGATGACTTTGTTATTGTGAATCGATAATCGATTAATTATATTTAATTAGTTTCTTTCACGTACGCAATGCGAGATCCCGCGTGTGCCCAAAATAGCCCAGAAATCATGTCTGTACTCAACAAAATGGGTAATAGAGAGCGAAAATTCGAGCGTATTCGATCGTAAGTGTATTCTTCTTCCTGCCCGAAACAGCCCGAAATTTTTTCCGAGTAAAAATGGATAAAATGTCAAAGTGCATATCAGCTGTATTGTGTTTACATGTTGCCTGCATTTACTTGGTGCTTTTAAGGAAAAGTGAATGGCCTGTTGATGTATTTTCAATCTATGTACTTAAAATCAAATTTGTGAAACCAAAATTCAATTTCCAAGTGTTTGCATTTAATACCATGTTCTGACCGGCAACCAAAACATTTTTCCTTCTTTTTCTTTTCATTTACAACCTTTAACTTTCATTCTTATTTTGCTTTGGCCAGGCAATTAACAATAAATCCGAAATGGCGTATTAAAGATGATAAAATATGACTTCCACTTCGATAAATAATCGAAAAAAACTAGTGAAGACACCGATTGGAATGAGTGGAAAGTGAGTTTTCAAGTAGTTTTCAGCGGAAACTGGTTTTCGTTTAACAGATTTTATATGGACGAAAACACAAGTTTTAGGTCGAAAACCAGTTTTAGCAACGAAAACATGTTTCCGATGTCGGTCAGAACATGGTATAAGTGACAAAAACATGAACAACGTGAATCAGCTGTTTCTCGACTTGTGGGCACGAAATGTGGGTTTTTGCGTTTCCGTACTTCTGAACTTTATTCCATTTTTGAAAGAAAATGTTTATTTTATTCTCTAATTACAAAATCCGGTCCGGATTGTTAGGGAAAGAACCTAGTGTTGATATTATCAGTGAACTGTAATTTTCGATCTTGTTTCCTCAACGTTTAAGACATTGTGATTTAAATAATATCAACAAAATTTCTGTGAAAAACCGAAACCGGAACGAAACCGAAACCAAAACCGAAATAAATTTTGAAGAACGAAACCAAAACCGAAACCGAAACACTTTATTTTCAAAATGCGTCGGGGCTCAGAACGAAGTCGATGGACGTGCGTTTGCTAACTTCCCAGTTGAAATTCGATGTATTTGTAGTTATTGAGACTTGGCTTAATGCAACATTTTTTGAAGTTATTT